TCCTGTTTTTATATTTGCATTAAGAAGATGAAAAATGTTTGCATTTTTAATAAGACCGCATTTTAGCGCCTTGAGGCAGAACAGGCATGGGAATGACTTGCCACAGCAAAGAGAGCAGTCAGAAGCAGATGCATAATCGCAGAAGCCATTACATGGTGCACCTTAATTTTTGGCAGATCTCATAGGCAACTGCAACCCGACAGGAGTAATGAAAAAATAAACAGCAGTTCTAGACATCTGGTAGTGTGGGAGGAATAGATATTTTGGGGCTATCAGATAAATATTCAAACAATAAAACTTACTGCACTTCCTCCCTACGCAACTTTGGTGAATGCTCATGGGAGGTAAATCTTTGGAGAAAACCAAAACTATAACCTGACAACGTCACAGTTCAGGCCCGAGGCACATGCGGGCCCAGCACACACCTGCCAAGCCACACACCCTGCCTCAGTGCCGGGGGCCACCCTCTCTCGGCTTCCATGGCTGATAACTGAGCTGTCTATTCTTTCTCAAGGATATGTTAACGTATGTAGCATAAAAACTGTATAGAAAGAAAAAAATGAGCTAGTCATCAAGTACAGTTGCAAAACCCTGAAACCTCTCGGGACATTTCAACTAGCAGCAGACTTGTTAATCCAAATACGAGACTATCGGAATCCTAACAGTACACTCTGGGTCTTGTGAGCAAATTAGATCCAAGTGTTGAGTTCCACTGTCACAACTTCAGTACTCATGGCTGGCTTCCTAAGAAATCCATCCTACGAAAGGATTTCAGAATAAGAAAAATAGCCTATCTTATCATTAAAGGGAAGTTTCCTTATTACTTTGGTGTAGATCCCATTTATCATCACAAAAACCAAGTGCTGGGGGGGAGAAATTTGTTTAATGATATTGCTTAATTATGTGTCTTTAAATGTAAAACCAATACTGCCACCTAGCGGCAATCTAAGGCACCTACTAAACATGCTGTCTAAACTGCAAACAACAAATGTACAAGACAATAAAAATTAAGCATTAAGCATACTGAAAATAGAAGCATAGAATAAAGTGCTAGAGAAGTTAAAATTTTCAGAGAAATGGAACTGTTTTCTAAGTTTTAAATGCTAAGAAAAATGCATCTGAAAATAGTTTCTAATGTGTGTATGAGACATTACAATAGGTGCCATGGGAGATACAAAATCTCATCTCCCTCTGGATTCTGGGGGCAGGACAGATGCCCTAGTGGACAAAGGGCACTGAAGAATACCCAGTGGGATACCAAATGGGCAGCCCAAACGGTAGTGCCTAGGGATAAAAATATCCTCCTGGTAGACCAAGGCTCCCATCACAGACGCGGAGGACAGTCGGCCAGAAGAGCAATAGCACCACCACCACTCAGGCCTTAAAAGGACGGAGCTGCTGGCACGTGCTGCACACACTGTGGATGAACCCGGAAGACATTACGCTACGTGAAATCTTAGTCACTCACAAGAAAGACTTACACCGTGTGATTCCACGTCCATGAGGCCCCTGGAGTCGTCAGACCCACAGAGGCAGAGAGCAGAGCCTGGGGGCTGCCAGAGGCTGAGAAAGGGGAAGCTGGAGTAAGTGTTCAGTGGTTATGGAGTTGCAGCTGGGAAGATACAGAGTTCAGGAAATTGGTTGCACAACATGAATGTACTTTTCAGTACTTACACTTACAAATGGTTAAAACGGCAAACCATGTTACATGGTTTTACCACAAATAAAAGTAAAAATAAGAATAAGCATAACAGCCACAGCAGCACCTTCTCTCTGTGCCTCCACATACTCCTGTCTGCCAAGAGGGCTGCTCCTGCTCTGCCCAGCCCCCAAACACTGGTTTCTCAGGGTCCCCCTGCTCCCCTGGAGCGGCACCTTCAAGCTGTTAGCCACCGCCAAGTCCTGACTTGCAGACCCACAACCATCTGGCCAAGCTACTCTCCGGAGCCTGAAACAAATGTCCAGCCTCCAGCCGAGACGGTCCCACCTCAGACTTCATCACATTTTCTCAACACCAACTCATAATTCTGTATTCTACTGTCTGCCTAAACTCTGTGATGTCACTGGGCAAAGTAAAAATGGCTGCTATATTTAATATGAAGGCAGTTGACCATTATCAATTTAAGAATTAATAATAAATTTTTTAAATAGACAAAATATTTACTTAACTTTTCATTTTCTCAATTTCATCTGGATTCAATTCAACTTGAATACCTTCTAGGGAGGAATCAAAAGCAGAACAAGCCCAAGAGTCTGCCTTCAGAGAACTTGTCATTTCCTAAAGAGAAATACACAGAAGCTCCTATTGCCATAGAAAAGAGAGTAAGGGAAAATGAGATAATGGATTTCAGGGATCCGGCTCAGTTACCACTCATGGAGGACTTCGGCTCAGTACACGCAAAGTACTGTGCTTGGTTCTGAGAAATCAGAAACTAAGACACATTCTCTGCTCTCAAAATTTATAAGAGACAGGCAGAGATATAACCAATAATATCAATACAAAGTGAGAAGTATACAATAAAAGTTTGTGTAAAACAGAGAAGTGGAACCAAAGCGGAAGGGGGTCAAGAAAGGCTTCCTAGGACTACAGGACCTTGTCAAGGAAGGGTCAACATGTGCAAAGCCACAGGCACGGCAGAGCAAGGCGATCCCAGGAACCATAAGAAGGTTGACATTACTAGAAAATAAAGTGCAAAGGGAGAAGTGGTGAGAAGTGAAGCTGGGGTCCAGAGCAGAGACTTGACTTAGTAAGCCCTGGTGCAACCATCTCGGCAAAAGGTGCCAAGCCCTGGAGGGCCCCACTGCTCTGCCAGATCCATACCCTCTCAGCTGCCTGCCATCTTGCCTCAATTCCTGAGAGACACGGAGGAGAAGCTCCAGCCAGCATACACTCTCCATCCCTAACCACAATGGCCGAGCACAGCTTAGACGAGAACCTGTAACCTTCCGCCCTGAGCCTAAGGCCAGTTTTAAGCATCCAGTGCTCCCGCACGCGGACCCCATCTTCTGCAGAGCCCCAGGGCCTCCTGAGGAAGCTGGATATAACCAGCCCCAAGCAGCCCCTCCCAAGCCTCGTTCTTCCTAAGGAGAAGAAAAGAAGAAGGAATATCTTATCATTTAAATTGCTTCTCAGCAGAAGGTACCCACAGGTCTTGTCCCCACTGTAGGGCCAGTCCTGGGAGCCCTGTCCTCCCCTGGGTGCCGCAGAAGCTGCTGCTCCTGAAAGAGTGAAGGGGGGAAGGGAGACAGAGAGATAGGAGTAATTTGTGAACAAAATAAAAGAGTGAATAAAGGTAGAATTATGGGTGTATACTCGATCAACTGGCCTCAGTCAGCAAAGCATGTATTTATCCACATTATCTGTCAAGGACCAGTAGTATGGGTTAAATGGAGAAGATACATAACCTGAAACACATGGATCTACCTTTAAACGATGAAAGGCATTTCTGAGAGCAGAAACACAGATGCCCTTAATTCCTTGTGAGTTACCTGATGCCTGACTGCCGGGTGTCCTCACTGATCAGACAGAAGGGGGACCGCCAGGGCCCAAGCGGGCTGATTCCCATTAACGCCCGCCTGGACCCCACCGAGAGGTGTTTGGGCTGCGGATTCCCCCTCCTTCCTGCAACAGCCTCCATGTGGCCGCTCCGCCAGAGCCTCTACCTCAGCCAGTGGAAGAGGCCCAACCAGACAAGGTTGCTGCCTGTCTGCCCACCTGAGGAAATCAGGAAAGGCTGAGTAGAAGAAAATCTCTAAAAGTTGGGTTTCCAGACAAAGAGGAACCTTTAACTCATCAAGCTGCTCCTATTCCAATTACCAAAAAAAGCGATCTGCCTATACTGTCCACAGCACGCAATTCTCTCCCTCCCTTGGGAAGCTGACGCTCCACATGGGAGAAGCAGGGCCAGTCCTCGCAGGGATGCAGGGAGGTGGGATGGATTTTATCTGTAATGCATTGAAAGATGAAGCACAGTAAACCTTATTCTCAGCAGTGCCTTAGCCTTGAATACTGTTAAGGCTGCTAATTTTTCCACTGATACTACCAACCCTTTATTTCCCAGCACCCATCAACAGAAAGAAAACAATCCATCAAACACACACATCTCCTGTCAGAGCTCTTGCTGAGCAAACCAAGAGATGGTATTTTTCTACAATCACTTCTGTCTTGAAGGCCACAGCAGTGTAGTGTAGCAGGCTTGGAGGATTTTGGGGTTTTTTTTTTGGCTTGGCTAAAGAAGAAAGCATTTACATGGCAGTGCAGGAAGGGGGACCTTCCTCTGCTCCAAACCTCCAGTATCATTCAAAGCAGCTTTAGACTCAGTTCGCACCTGTTTTAAACATTATTAAAACGTACCTGGATGTGTCGATCTTCCTCCCCATAATCCTTCTTGAATAGTACATTATAAATCAAAAGTGCAATTAATGATATCCAATTAAAAAACAGATTAAGGGACTCTTAGAGGAAACACAGCACTAAGGTTAATGAAAATGTTATTTCAACATGTAAATTGCCTTAGAACTTGTTACCAAAATTTTGAACATTAATTATCTTGGCTATTTTAAGCCCTCCTTTTAAAACGTTATTTCTTAACATAATATTGTATGTCAGTTATACTTCAATTTTAAAAAGCTAAAAAAATTTGTAAATTGATGCTAGTCATTAATAAGGAAAAGGAAAGTTTAAAAATAAATAAACCCAGAAAAAACCATTTCTTCCATTTCTTTTTATCATACTTTATGCCAAAAACCTCAATAGTCCTATACAATTATATAATTTTCTTAAATGAAAAAATACATATAATAATTTAGAATATGATACTTTGAGCATTAGGAATGAACTAGAACATTTTAAGCAGTAGTCAATACTAAATAAGTAGAATAAGTCAGAAGAGTTTTTCTCATCTAAAGAACACTGATTCTCTATAGACCAAGTACTTTGGGAAGCATAAATGTATCAATAAATAAATAATCCGCAGCCATCGCAAGCCAGCGCCACATACCTGCGTAAGATTTGCAGCTTGCTTTAAGATGCTTTGTTTTAACTGTTCTGCTCTCTCTGCATGAAAAGAATTACTTTGACTCTGGATGACAAATACAATTCCTTTTAAATCTAGAACCAAAAAAAATGGAAATAGTTTTCAGGTACATTTTTCAACAACTGAAATAAACTTGAAAACAAGTAAAAACAAAAATCCAGCTACAAGACAAAGCTTCAGGGAAAAAAGACAATTTATATGTAATTCTAGCGACAAAATCACTCTGTTTAAACTGATCTCTAAACTTTCTTCCTGGAAGTTAGCCAGCACTAGGCTCACTGACCAGGCCAAACCCATGGTAATAAACTGAATCTGCTCCTGCGTCTGTCGGAAAAAAAGGCCTGTAAACTTGTGAAAGGATGAAAGCGTCTGGGCCACTAACCTGCCCAGCAGCTGAAATCGTGGTTGGCAAGTAGCCTTTTAACAATTCATATGTGACCCCCATACTGTGCTGTTATCTGTTAGGGGCTGAAATGTGCCCCCCCCCCCAAACTTCATATGCTGAAGTCCAAACCCCCGGTACCTCCGAACGGGACCTTACTTGGAATTGGATCTTTACAAAGGTCATCAAGTTAAAGTGAGTCACCAGCGTGGGCCCTAATCTAGTATATTTGGTGTCCTTACAGAAAGAGGACAGAGGGAAGAGGCGGTGGGCATGCAGGGGGGAGACAGGGGTGTACAAGCCAAGGAGAGAGGCCTCCGAAGAAGGCAACCTTGCCAACATCTTGATCTTAGACATCCAGCCTCCAGAACTGAGACAAACTTCCTTCCATGGTTTAAATCACACAAATTGTAGCACTTTGTTCCAGCAGCCATAGCAAACTAATGCACTACCTCAAGAATGTTCTGGATGCCCCTTTAAGGTAAGACTCAACCATAACTGCTTACGTCCCCTGAGTTCACGAGAACCTGCAGGAATATAAATCAGTAGTGCTCACCCCACCTCACAAGGCACCTAGCCAGGATTAAGTGCCAGCTCCCAGCAAGCAGCCTCGGTTCCACAGCAGCTGAAATCGTATTGCATCTGCAAGAAGTGTTGCAGAGAAACCCATCTACAACACCACTGGTGGCAGATCTGCCCGCCCGCCAGAGACCTGCTCAAAGCAGCCAGTTTTACAACATCTGGCAGGGAGGGAACCCTCGTGTGTCACACCCACCTGACCAGGAAGTCCATCAGAGGTCTTACCAGGGGAGAAGGTTGCTCAGGCCCCACACATGAGGCCTCCCTAGGTTCTGAGCTTGTTACAGAGAAATGGATAGAAACAGCCATTGTATCGGCACCCTGCCACCAGACAGGGATGTTGGCAGAAGGCAGATGTCACATAAACTGTAGCCTCTGGCCAGGCTGTCAGCAGCCGATCTGTGGGGACCTTCCCCTGACTGTGCACCTTTTCTGGTAACACCTTGACTCAGGGATGCTAATTTGGTTCTAATTTTCTTCATTTCTACTTTACTGTTCTTATATCAGTTCTATAGTCCCATTCATTTGTTCACTCACTCAAATATTTATTCAACAAATAGCCCCACAGTGAGCCATCCAGATCCTAAAAATAATCCAAAATGCTCTTTGGTTAAAACTTATTAAAAAATTTAGAAGGAAATGCTGAACCACCTGCTGAATCTGACCGTGTTCCTTTTCTGTAGGAGTTTATGTAAATATGAACATTCTGGATACCTACCTCTATTTTAAATCAGCTTCTTGGCTCTATAAAGTGGGCACACAGATAAGGCTTCAATAAGTGTCTTATATTTCAGCTGAAATGCAATCTCTGATCTACTACATCTAAAACATTAACATAACTGACATATCAAAAGAGGAGTTAGAAAGATTTCTTTTATTACAAATTGAGTAAATAAACTTCAGAGAATAATTTTTGCAAAAATGTAATAAAGTTGGAGGTGCACATTCCCAATGACCCAGGGCTCCCACTCAGATTTAATCATCCTTGAGAAACTTTCATACGTGTGTACAGAATATATAATAAGAGAGCTCACATCAGGACTGTGTAAAAGGGAAACACTGGAAGCTACCCAAATGCACACTAACGAGATGTACAAATTGGAATATTATACAGCAATAAAAATTGGCTAGCACTACATTTATCAATTCAGATGGATATTGTAGGTAAATACTATGGCAACAATGCTGGGATTAAAAAGGAAGTTGCAAAGAAGTAACTATAAGTCAGTGGTTTGCAAAAATATAAACACAAATATATATGCATGCATATATACTATATGTGATGTGAAAGTATAAAAGATTACATGAGAATGGAAAACACCAAGATACTGGTTGAAAGGCTTCAGTTGCATTCATCATGTTTTATTTCTTTAGCAGGGTGGTAGCTACGTGAATGTTCGTTAGATTACTTGTGGTAATCCTGCAGTCATCAGCTCCCACCACATCTACCAGTTCTACAAAGTTCCCACTCTTCTCACAAGACAACAGCTCTTCTGTGCAGGGAAGAGGCTTTACAAGAGGAGAAAAGGTGAAATCTTCCACTTTTCATACACTTGGGTCATGTGCCATTAGTCGTATTTGCTCTTCTGCTAAGAAATCAACACCTTCCTTTTATACGTGCTTCAATCACGCATTGTATGCTTACACATTCTGCAGACATCTCAGAGTCTCTATTAGGTATAAGGCTCTGGGATACAAAGGTGATCAGGTGCAGACCCAGCACAAAGTGCTGAGTCCATTCAGGAGACAGCCGCTGCCACCCAAGCCTACGTGTGACCCCACGCGAGCACAGGGCTCTAGGAGCACAAGTCCAGAGAGCGCTCCCAGCAAGCTGCTCCCCGAGCTTCCTTTCAAGAGTAGCAGTTGTCTGCAGACTCAGCCACAGAAGGTAGCAGCCTGATGGCAGAGAAAGACGTGGGGTCATCCCAGAGCCCACAGCATCCCTGAGTAGGGGACCAGGGAGTTGGCCAGGCATTCTGAGAAAGGATGAAGGGACAGTCAGTGACAAGGTTGGAGAGGGAGGCCGGGTCAGCCCGATCAGATGGGAACGAGGATTTCAGTGCCACACTAAGAAGCCGGGTTTATAGACTACAGCGCTCAAACAGGGGCAGGGCCTCGGCGCTATCTGGGGCCCCAGAGGGTAGAGGCACAGGGCGAGGGGGGGTAGGATCTGCCCAACAGAGAAAACAGTGAAGGTCTGAGACAGCGAGTAGGTTTAGGGCCCTGGAACTAGTAGTTAGGTAACAGGACGGGAAATGGGTGGTGACCAGTGATACGGCAAAAGAGGAAGGGTGTTCCTAAAGCCCTGATAACACCGAATGACAGAAATCCTCTATATGCCCTTCAGCCCCACCCCCAGTCCAGAAAAGAGCCATATCCGCAGAGGCTGGTGCTGAAAACAGCTCACGTGCTTGAATCCCTGCTGGCCTCTCCGTCTTTCTGAAATGCTTTCTGACATACACCCTAAGCCCTCCCAACTGCATCACGTTCTGGTTGAGTCCAGATCGCAGGGCTCACCTCGATGGCTGTCTTCTGTTCATGCCTCCAACCACTGGCCAGTTAAGCTCTGCCCAGTCACTGGAGCCGCGTTAAGACAAGGCGCTACCTCCTTACCGCTTCGTTGCGCTTCTCTCAACTCAGATTTGCCTTCAGCAAACGTCACAACTCGAGACAGACTGCGGCTGTTTCTCCTCCAGGAATGTGTGACAAATGGGTCGTACACTAAGTGCCTGATAATAATGATGAGGCAGAGACAGGGAAGACAGGCTAGAGAGGGAAGATACAGAAATAGTCAAGGACATGGAAAGGCCTGCGTGGTTCTGAAGCCCGCGGAGGGTGCAGAGAGCCCTCAGGAGAGACCACGGGACCGAGAGACGGTTAGAAAAGGACCCCAAAGGAGAAACGATTACTCTTTGAAGATAAAAGAGACGAAAGGCTCTCTGTTCGTCAGTTGCTGAGCACTTGCATCGTGCGCCGAACACTCCATGAAATGCTAATCTTTCCTGGTCAGATTCCTCCAGAAACATGGGTCTCATCTTGCTGGTGTTCTTCTGACAAGGCAGAAAAGCAAGCAGCCTGGGTCTTGAGGCTGAGGGATGAATAAGCGCACGTCCACACATCCCAGAGCCACCCCAGGATGTTTTACTTGGTCGGGATAAGCGGCACTAGTGACTCTACAGATGAGGCAGGAAGCCCAAGGGGAAGAAGCTGCCCTGCCCTTGGAGTCTGTCACCCAGCCCTGCTGTGTGACCCCATGACCTAGGCACTCGGATTCCACTGGGCAGGGGGGCTGCTTCGGTAACCCCCCCTGCTCCTGCAGAGCCATGTTAGGATTATGGCAAACACTGATACCAAGTTAAATATCAATAGACTTTCCGTTTGCAATCACAAAGATGTAGGTTCACCTAGCCAGGTACCTTCCCCTTGGTACTTTCAAGCCCATCTTGCAGACTAGGGTCATTAGTTCATTGATAACCACTTGCTATGCGGAGGCCTGTCAGTCAGCGCCCATAAAATGAACACACACATGCCCAAGCCGCAAGGATTGGCAGCAGACAGAAAGTCTCTGGGGGAGCACACTATGACACAGAGAAACAGCAACGACCGGCGTGGCTCCTGTGGCACAGCTGCTCGCAGAGCCCCTGCCTCTGTGGTCCCCTGCACACCCAGGCCCCATCGCAGGCCATCCTGCCCTCACCGCAGGTTTCTACACTCCTCAGGATCCAGCCCAGGAGGGGAAGGCCTAGAAAGCCAAGTGTGCCCTTTCCTTCCTGCCCACAGGCCACCTTCCAGGTCTCCAAGGCCGACCTTGGGGTGACCCACGCTGACAAAGTCCACACCTGTGGGAAGAGGCCCAACACACCACCTTAGCTCCCCATCAGCCCTCTGGGGCCTGCTTCCCATGGAGTCCAAAACACAACTAACTCGCGGTCACAGCCGGGAAGGCGCTTACAGTAGCTGGAGGGAGAAAAAAGCGTTTAAAAGGGAGAGGAAGGAAGAGTGCCTACGGGCTGCCGGACGAGAACAGTGCGTCCGCACAGATGCACGCAGCTGCCTCTGCACCCGGGTTCTCAGAAGACTTGGCCAGATGTGGTTGGCGGCCTGCATGGAAAGCGGTTTTTGCAGGCCAGCCAGTGGGGAGCCTGGCCCCAGGCAGACGAGGAGACGGGCACAGGCCACAGCCTGTCCTTCTCTCCCACTCGGTGTAGGGTCCCTGAGAAGAGAGTCAGTCTTGTTCATCTCTGCAGCCCCCACAGTGACCACTGGCACAGTAATCGGCCCTTACTGGAAACTCAGTAACTGATGGCCAAGGGAATGAGAGCTAACTGTGAGCTGTTAATTCCAGTACATATCACCTGCCAATACATCAGGCTGGAAAGGGCTCTCCCCGTGTCTTCACGAGGTAAATGCAGGGCTGGATATCTGCACAACAGTATTCACTCCACAATAAAATCAGAAAGAAAAATGCACTTCTCTGAAATAGCAATTACAAGAAATACACATGGGCACATACTCTTAAGGTAAAAAAATCATTACTTACCTATGTCATATTTCCTGGACATACCATTTTCCTCCAAATTCTGTATTTTAAATAAAAGAGAAAAAGATAAATCTCATCATGCAACAAAGCAAGCAAAACACCAAATAAATATGTGTGGCACACAGTTACATTTTGGGGGAAGACACCAAAGATGAGAGCCTGAAATGCTTCCAAAGGAACAGACCAAATCTTAAGGGGAGAAAGGCAACAAGGAGGTCCTTCTGCATCGTGACAGGCCCCTGTGGGGCTCCCCTTTCCTCTGTGATCTGGGCAAGTCACTTGGCTGAGCTGGGGCTCCTTCCTCCTGCGTAAGATGGAGTTAATGCTTAACTGGTTCACAGTGGTCTTGGGAGGGTTCATTTAAAAACCGTGCAAACTAAAGCACTGCAGGCCCATCAGAGGGACTGTCAGTTGTGACGGGCATGTGCCTCCTGAAGGTGAGCTCGGCTAATTACCATATTTATCATCTTTTGGACTCAGACATGCTGTCATCAAGAATGTTACCCCAGGGTTCTTTCCCACCTGACAAGCAGCCCTGGGGGCCTAAACAGGGCCCTGGAGAGGGCCAGCCTGTCGCACACGAGAATTCACGAGCACAGAACAGGTGACTTGGAGCTACAGAGCTCTCGACACAGAAACCTGGGTGTTGGCCACTAACTCTGCCATTTTCATTGTCTTCTCTAGCAGAGAAGGAAAGAATTTTCTCTCTAATTGTCCTTTGTTGCATCCAACTGCCATATACTATAATCATGACAAGTGGCAAATATCCTTCAGTTTTCTTTACAAACTGCAAAAAGAAATGCAGTCGTCAACCTTTACCAACAGACCTGGGAACAGCTTAAAAGCCAAGACACAGCCACACAGAGAAATACCCTCTCAGAATGCCAGAGGGACTGTGACAAACGAGGAGGAGAGAGGGCGAAGCACAGGGGAGCATCTGCCTTTGGTAATGTTTTCTGAAATTATCTTCGTCTCGAGAATCCAGTGGGTGACAGAGAACCCCATAGTGATGGACTGATTTGTTATACGTCACGATCAAGTGACACACTTTCCTTAATGCTGATGCAGCGCGTACTGTTTGGAAAAGCCCACTAAAAATTACTGGGAAGCTTGAGTCACTTCTCTAGACGTGCTGAACCAAAGGCAGGTTATGGTCATAAGTTAGCAGGTGTCTTCCACACTCTAAATGCCAGTGTTGCCCAGGAAGGCAGCCTGCTCTCAGGGACGGGGGTTCAGCTTCCACCATGAATGTGCTGCCCACCCCAGGGCTAAGCGGCCTTCTTCCTGAGAGGCCACAGCTTTGGCTGCCAGGTGAGCACCAGGGAAAATTAGAAATTTCAGATCTGAAAATAGCACAGATAAAGAAAAGGTGGTGACACATACAGTGGAATATTATTCAGCCTTAAACAGGAAGGAAATTCTGACACGGGATACAACATGGATGAACCCTGGGGACATTATGCTAAGTGACATAAGCCAGTCACAAAAAGACAGATGCTGTATGATCCCCTGTAAAGAGGTCCCTAGAGCAGTCAAATCCACAAAGACAGAAAGTAGAAGGGCGGTTGTCAGGGGCTGGGGGAAGGGGACGTGGGAGTAGTTTAACGGAGACAGTGTTCCACTTCTGCCAGATGAAAAGAGAACATCTTAACCATTTTTAAGTGTATAGTTCAGTGGTGTCAAGTACATTCGTACACTTAAACATGGTTAAGATATTACGTGTATTTTACCACAAAAAATTTTTAGAAAACAGCACTGGAGATGATCCAGCCCAATACTCCCCCTTTTACAAATGGGACAGAAGAGGCTCAGGAAAGATGCAGGATTTTCCAAGGCCCAACAGTCATTTCAGCCACAGAAGCAGGACTGAAGTCCAGGCCTTCTGACTTCTCTCCGATGCTCCCTCTCACACGTGACAGGGCAGGCCGGCCCTCTTCCAGGGCGCTCTTCAGGAAGCACGCGCCCCGAGGTGCAAACATACTGAGGAAGCTGAAAGTAATGTCTACAACAAAAGCCGCCTTTACCGATAAGTTGAAAGATAAAACATATCTTGAACTCGGTGTCTCCAGACTGAGTAACTTATGCTGGAACACCAACTGGACTTTCTACCAGATAACTCTGTGAAACCGAAAAAAATGAATCAAAATTAGACTTCTCTCTCTGTGGTATTAAGCACTGCAGCTCTAACTGGCCAACACAATAGCTAGGAAATGATGAGCCATTTCCAATGGCTCAATTTGTAAACTGCAAAAATAAAATATCCAAGGAACGGTTGGCTTAAGTGAACTAAAACCAAACCAAATGGTCTTGTATAATTTCCCCTTTGGGAAAGAAAAACCAGACTAAGTGAAGGAATTGACAGAACATTTAAAATTCTGTCTCCGGCTTCCCTTGCAAAAGGGCTTAGCTCTTCCTACAAAGTGACACATGGTTTGTGTTATCATCTCTGCTGCCACGTTTCTTACCCTGACTTTCAGTATCAATCAAAATGTACACACTTGTCAAAGTTTTGTAAGTCAACCGAATTGCTATTCAGATGGGAAAGAGATTTCTTGCTAACGCATGCAGACAGCAACTCCCCCAGCCCGGGAAAGGCAAATGCTAGTCACCCTTTTATACAGGTTTTATTTTTTAAGGCACATTAGATGTGAACACTTTCAATCCATATAAGTAATGCTCAGTTTATAAGTCCTTCATGAAAAGAAGAGAAAACATCCTCAAAAGAATTTGATATGAGATCTTTTAAGAAGAAAGAGAAGCAAAATGACATCTTCTACCAAGTCACAACCAACCACCCCTAGATTTTGCGCACATTGAATTAATCAGGATCTGCTCATCAGCCTGTGTTTTAATGCTGCCTCCACCACTTACTAACTCAGGCCTCAGTTTCTTATCTGTAAAATAGGAATAATAGTGACAACACCTACTTCACAGGGTTGTTGTGGGAGTTTAACTGGATGATATAATGCTGAGCACAGTGTTCCTAAAACCAACGTTCAGTAATCGTGGGTGCCTAACCTTTTTATCATCACCATCACCACCGTCTACTTCATATGAAGTCAACTACCACCATAAAAAAAAAAAAACTAAGTTGTAAAAGTAGTAAAGTCTAGGGTTACTCTTTTTACTTTGATTTGTTTAGGTTCCTCTTGAGGGTTGCCTGAGACATTGCTTGCTGTCATCAGCCACACGTTTCAGTAGGTCCTGCACTAAGCAGCATACACACAAACACACACTCGGAAGCACTGAGTCTTCAGAACAGCTGTTTGATATAGTCCTGTTACCCCACTTTACAGACGGGGCAGCTGAGGCACAGCAAGGATCAGAAAGCCCCACAGCAGGTAAGTGATAGAAAAGGGACGTGATCCGCAGCAGCTCAGCTCCCGTGCGTGGCTCTAGCCCAGGACACCGTGAGGATGTGAGGCCGGGCAAAACTGCAGGCTGAGGACGGCTACGTGGCCACGGCTGAGGCCACACCCACAGCCTGGCAGGCAGGCTCCCCTGCCAGCTGGGGCAGGTCAGCAGCTGGGACGGGACCAGAGACCAGGCACCCAGAGACAAGCCCGACGGTCAGGCCCTTGAGGTGAGACAGGACAGTCAGCACTTGGGACTTTGAAGTGAAGCCACCAGGCAGCCAGCGAGTCCACGCCCTGGGGAGGGGCCCAGCCCTGAGCAGGGCTGCTCCGGCTCTCGAGAGACCCCTGCCCAGGGCCTGGACTACAGCGAGCAGCCGGGTCAGCAGATGGAAGGCGGCTGCTTTTGAGGGGCAGTGGCCAGGCAGACCCTCACCGCTTCTGCGGCGGGTGAGGAATGATAACCCCGAGCCACAGTGGGCAGTGTTAAGAGCCTTAACGCCTACCCCGGGTTCATTACAGACTTTGAAGGACCTTGGACAAACTGATTCTTCTCCATCCCCCAGCCTCGGGTAAGGTCTACAGTAGACACTTCATCGCTACTTCTCTTCAGGGATTAAAGGCTTTTTCGGCTCCACGGCCTAAGCAAGGTAGGGTTAGGGACATTCTTCAAAGGCTTTTGTACCTTTGCATGGAAAATGACACTAAGATATAGGACTCACCTTATCTCTATATTTATATTCACATATGTATTTAACCTTATCTCTATCTATATATTCATATATGCATTTAAGACTAAAAATACATATTTTCCTCATTTGGAAAGATAAGCTAAAGCCTGTATTTGAAAGTAGGTGCTGTAACTTCTATATTTATTATACAAAATTCTAATTCCCTATTAGTAACTCATAGGTAGCACTTTAAATGCTTTATAAATGAGCGTCATTATTGCCAAACATACACGTTATAATGCCTATGGCTATATGATATAAAATTACAGTGTGAAAAATTCAAGGATTCAGAACATTTAGATTTGGACTTCACTTTTAACAGTCATGTGACCTCAGTCTAATCTCTTAACTTCTCTGCAGATAAATTTTCTCTGCTATATAAGCAGATCACATTTTATTGTGCTTCGCTGCTGTGCTTCAAAAGCATTGTAATTTTTACATATTGAAGGTTTGTGGCAACCCTGATAGACTGAACAAGTCTATCAGCACCTTTTTCCAACAGTATTTGCTCACTTAGTGTCTCTGGGTCACATTTTGGTAATTCTTGCAATATTTCCAACTTTCTCATTATTACTATATTTGTTACGGTGACCTGTGATCAGTGATCTTTGATGCAACTATTTTAATTGTTTGGGGGCTCCCCGAACCACACTGATTAAGGTGAACTTAATAGGTAAATGTGTGTGTTGGGTGGGACTGCTGTACCAACAGGCTGTTCCCCATCTCTTCCCCTCCTCTTGGGCCTCCCTACTTCCTGAGACATAATATTGAAACCAGGCCAATTAATAATCTGTAATGGCCTCTAAGCATTCAAGTGGAAGGAAGAGTCACACATCTCTCACTTTAAAGCAAAAGCTAGAAACGATTAAGTTTAGGGAGGAAGGCACGTTGAAAACCGGGACATGCAGATAGCTAGGCCTCTTACACCAGACAGCCAAGTTGTGAGCGCAAAGGAAAAGTTCTCCAAGGACACTTACAGTGCTATTCTTGCGAACACACAAATGATGAGAAACAAAACAGCCTTACTGCTGGCGTAGAGAACACTGTGGCGGTCTGGACGGGGGAGCCAGCCAGCCACGACGTTCCCTTAAGCCGAAGCCTAACCCCGAGCAAGGCCCTGACTCTTCTCAATTCTGTGGAGGCTGAGAGAGGGGAGGACGCTGCAGAGGAAAAGGTGGGGGCGACCAGAGGTTGGTTCGTGAGCTTTAAGGGAAGAAGCTGTTTCCATAACAGAAAAATACAAAGGGGAAGCAGCAAATGCTGATGGAGAAGCTGCAGCAAGCCTTCCAGAAGATCCAGCGAAGGTCATTCATGGAGGGGGCTGCACTGAACAACAGATTTCTGATGCAGACAAAACAGCCTTCCATGGGGCAGAAGATGCCATCTAGATTTGCGAAACGAGAGAGAAGTCAAAACCTGGCTCCAAAGGACAGGCTGACTGTCTCGTTAGGGGCTGATGCCGCTGATGACATTAAGTTGAAGCCAGTGCCCAGTGGCCATTCTGAAAATCCTAAGCCCTTTAGAATTATACTCGGCCTGCTCCGCCTGTGCTCTATGAATGGACAACAAAGTCTACATGACAGCACATCCATTTACAAGGTTTACTGACCATTTAAAGCCCACTGTCAAGACGCACCATTCAGAAAAAAGGATTCCTTTCAAAATATTCCTAAACCTAGAAATACTGCCAGTGCACTGGTCACCCAAGAGCTCTGATGGAGATGTACAAAGAGATGAATATTGTCTTCACGCCTGCTAACACAACATCCATTCTGCAGTCCATGGATCAAGGAGTAATTTGACTTTCAAGCCTTACTTCTTAAGAAATACATTTTCTAAGGCTATAGCTGCCACAGATAGTGATTCATCTTATGGATCTGAGCAAAGCAAATTGAAAACCTTCTGGAAAGAATTCACCATTCTAGGCGGCATTAAGAACTTTCATGATTCATGGGAAGAGGTCAGAATATCAACATTAACAGGAGTTTGGGAAAAGGTGATTCCAACCCTCATGGATGGCTTTGGGGGGTTCAAAAACTCCATGTAGGAAGTATCTACAGGTATGGTGGAAACAGGAAAAGAACTGGAATTAGGAGTGGAGTCTGAAGATGTGACTGAATCGATGCATCTCAAGATCAAACTTAAATAGATGAGGAGTTGCTTCTTAAGGGTAAGCAAAGAAAGTGGGTTTCTTGAGAGGAATCTACTTCTGGTGAAGATGATATGAAGATTGTTAAAATGATAAGAAAGGACTCAGAATATGACAAACTTTGTGGATAAAGCAGTGACAGGTTTGAGAGGACTGATTCTAATTTTGAAAGAAGTTATTTTAAGAAATGGCCACAGCCACCCCAACCTTTAGCACCCACCGCCCTGCTCGGTCAGCAGCCATCTACCTCGAGCCAAGACCCTCCCCCAGCAAAACGGTTACGCTTGCTGAAGGCTCAGAGGATGGTTTGCATTCTTTAGCAATAAATGTTTTTTAATTAAGGTATATACATTGACTTTTTTAGACATAAAGCTATTGCACACTTAATAGAGTATGTTATAATGTAAACATAACTTTTATATGTACTGTGAAACCAAAAAATTGATCTGACTCATTTTATTGCACTATTTGCTTTATGGCCGTGTTCTGGAACCAAACCCACAGTATCTCTAAGGTATGTCTGGAAATACCTGCTGTCCTTAGAAATACCAGGATCACTGAGATTACATTAAATGGAATGTCTAAAACGGCTTTCATAACCATGAGGACCTTAAAACCATAAGGAATTATTATCATTTCCCCTGCATAGGAATCCCATAATACAGTTAGAACAGATAATACTCTGTTGATAAAAGGAACATTCTATTAAAAAATGCTTTTATACTAATTGCCGGGTAAAAAAAATAATCAGCTGAGCCTTAATTAATATGACAAAGACTACTCATTTTTTAAAATATTGCTTCTCTTTCTTACATGCTACACTGATCTGATGCAGAGCCCAGATGGTGAAATCTAGATGACGCTCTTGAAGGCAGCCAGTGGTGAGCAGCAACAGCTCTGAGATCTGGGTAAGTGCTGGCCCCTCTCCACCGGATTCCCCAGGCCTTGGTTTCTGGCAGTCACTGTGGGGGTCTCTCGGCCAGTCCCCAATATGCCCTCTCATGTGGTGCCACCTTCAAGGTGAAGGACCCACAGGACGCCTCTCCACCAGCGCTCCTGGGTGACCAGGTACATTGCTAGCAAGCAGTCATATTTTTAAAGGGATCTTTTTTTCTGAGTAGTGGGTCTCAGCAATGGGCTTAAAATAGTAAACTGCATTGTAACCCCTCAAGGCACAGTATAGTCCTTCCTTCCTTGACCGGGAAAATTAAGTCCAAGGTTAAGATGTGGTAAGACTGGAGAAAACTACAGTATCCAAAAGAGGCTATTAAAATATGATATATCTAGTTTCATATCAAAATACCTTTTTTCTTAAAGTGAAATTTGAAACCTAGTGGGTCTGTTTTAACTAGTAAAGGATATTTTTTGAAAACAAGCCTTTTAAGGTTGCTGCTATGGACTCAAAATGTATGTTGACCAACAAGTTATTAATTCATAAAAAGAAAGAAGTGTAACTATTGGAAGATGAAATCATTACAGCTCCCATGAAAAAATAACCAAGCACATCTCAAATGGGAAGAGTAAATTTGATTATTAGAATTAGTACCTTAGACTGCTTGACCTCTTTCTTTATATCTTCAGAAACGAAAGCAAAAACTGGAAAAAAAAAAAAAGGAAACATTTTTATATTAAAACTAGCAATTAAGATTCATTCTCAAATTCCACAAGTTTGCTTAAAATAAGAGAAACAATGAAACTTTAACAAGACATATTTTGCTCATTTTTAAAAGCAGCTGCATTGTTGTAAATTCATACCACCGGCCACTTCCACCTCCAAACCTTAAATTATTCATCAGTGTGAGGCCGACATGCTTAGGCTACCAAGCTAAAGAAACACTACACCAAAGAAATTATAATCAGCGAAACCGTTTGTGTTTGTGTCTACAGGTATAAACTGCAAAATAGATGCATACAAATAGAACTTCTTCAAAGCCTCAGTTCTGGTGCTTTCTTAAGCAAAGGGGAAATCCTAAGAATTCCAGAGGGAAGAAGGACAAATTCCCACTCTCAGAATCACTGCCAGAGTGTGAAGGGCAACTGAGTTAAATCTGGAGCAGGCTTTCTGTCTCGGGGGTTGTGAGGCTGGAAATGTGGCGCAGGCCCTGCTGTGGACGTGCAGAAGTTACCAGAGTCCCACTAGAGCGATGGGGCCAGAGAGCGAGAGGAACCGAGTATTCCCCATTTAGGGTGGTTGAATGTTGTGTCAGAGCCCATAAACAGACAAGGATATCCCCGGACACACATCCAGGCTCTATATTTAAAATAACAATACTATTAATAACATGACAGTAACACTTTGAAAATATAAAGCAAAATGATAAACAAAATAGTCAGGAAAGTTAACCAGACAAAAAAATAATACCTTAATTTTACAGTGCATTTCTCCTGAACAGCTAAGAGGAAAGCATTTCATAGAGCGTGTTGTCCCCAGTTAAGCATTCCCAGGAGAAAATGGGCAATATCGTAGAGCCAAAACACCCTGAAAAGGCTGGACAGGCAATTTCATGGCAGCACAAGGCGAGTGAGTGGCCGGCTCCCCGGGTAACAGAGACCTACTCAGCAAGTGACAACCTGCCCATTGGAGGCCTCCGATCCCTCCCCACCTCCACCCCCAGGCATCCGAGGCCTCAGATTGTCTCTCCATTAACATTTGCTCAAAGGAAGCAATCTAAAACATCCACACTAAGAAGCAAATGACTAACATGGTTTAATTATTTCCATTTCCAGGATGACATTTCAAAAAGGCAGGGAGAAACTGAAATGTAAGCTGAGTGGACGTCTGTGTGTGCAGTTTAGATAACAGCAGGTATCCTGATGCCCCCTGAGACCACCTCATATAAATCGCAAACCCCAACTCTGTTTTCCCCTTCTCCAGAGCATGTACCACTCCTGGCATAATATATATTTATTTGCTTGTTTGTCTTCTATGTTAGTTTACTGTAAGATCCACAAAGGCAGGAATGTGGTTGTATTTATTTTTGCCCCAAAACCTAGAACACAGGCAGCACACAGAAAAAGAGCAATCAACATTGATTCAGTGAATGAATGAATGCCAAGTGTTCAGGATGGCCCGAGCACGTCACCGAAGGGCTGTCTGCTCCTTATTACTAGGCAGCACCAACCCAGGAGAATGAGGGAGTTCAGTGCCTCCCCCATTTATGCTTTCTCATTTTTACACACACACACACACACACACACACACACACACACCAGGGCAAATGCAAAGCCCAAGTCATTCACTAAGTTCAAAGAAGAAAAGAGTGATTTAACTCCAAACACCATTTAAGCTCTGCTTCTAGGTGCTTAATTTTGTTTGTTTTGTTTTATTTACCTCAAAGCTAACATGCACATTTAAAACCCTCAAGAAGATATCAAAAATAGGATTATCAGTAAATATTACACAGGGAGGTCACGACATGTTAACACCACTCACTCAGTATCACAGAATTCCAGAAAACAGAATATTCTGACAACTTGCAGAATATGAAAACTGTGGCCAATCTAATGCAGGACTTTGATTCCAAAATCCATCTCTGCCAACCGCATCAATTCCTAATTCCAGACACAGACAGTCAAAGCTCTCTGGGTTGGCATTTCCTCTTCTATCAAGAAAAATAACCTTGTCAATTTAATATGTTCAGTGACTCATCACCTAACAACCAGCTTTTAGCCATACTTCACTAGAGTGTGTCAACACGGAAAGCCCCTGGCCCTTTAGAATATAAGCTCTATGCTAAAGAAAACATGTCTTTATTTGGTATTGGTTCTGAAAACCACCAACACATAACCTTTCATGAATAAGCAGCTAGTATTATCTGACAGTGTTACTATTTAAAGTAAGAATTACATAGAGAGAAAATGTTCCCAATAAATCATTTCCACGAATCCTGTTTGTCATAATCAAGATACCATACCTTGATTCAGATAAGATTTAACTGAAGTAAGGTAAACTAGATTTTCATTCCCTCCAAAAATACACAATCCTAGAGTTAAAATATCCTTCAAAAAAAAACAACTATCATTTCTCTCCATTTCTCTCCATCACTCGGATGTGAAATTAAGAACTCCTTTTTCCCATAATTGAAATAAACTATATAATATTAAAGCAATAACATTAAAAAATGCATCAAGAGTTACTGTCAGGCATAAGAGCAAATCACATGGCAAGTTAATCCCCATTAGATGAATATTTTGTCAAAAAATACCAGTTGGTATAACTTATATTTCCATAATCTCAAAAAAACAAAACAAATCGCCAAGAAACCAAACGTATTTTGAAAGCCCAGCATATGCTACAGCGCTAGTAAATCCAACCTTAAAACAATGAATCATTTACAAAATTCTTACCAACAAATTCCCAGCTTTTACAGTTTGTGGAAATGAAGACGAAATGGTGGAAAAAGAGGAGGGAAATGAGAAAAGTAAGGTAAGAAATTACCTGTCACCTTCAACAACTCTTAACAAGCACATGCATCTCAAGCCTGGGAGAGGGGGGAGGGAGGAGACCCCCCACACCCCCAAAGGGAGTGGCCAACGGCTCCGTGTTTACAGATTGCTTCATACTAATTTCCAGATTCAGTAGGGAAAAAATATCCTTGAAAGCTCGGTGCTAATGTGCAGTTGGAGAAATATTCCAAGGTAAACCCTGCTCTGATATGCCAAACTGCTGTTTAAAAGTAATTTTCCCTTTTCTATTTTCAACATGAATTCCTGTGAATTGCTACAGGGAACTATATTTAAAGTGCAAATCAGGCCAGGCAATAGAAATAAGACCTTTCTCATGATAACTTTAAATAACTCAAGCCAACAAAAGTGTTAGCACACCTATTCTGAGAGAGAAATCAAGATTTTACAACTAACCTGGGACTAAGATTTATAGGCTAGCCTAAGCCCTAGAGCACAAGAAAACCGGCAAGAAATTAATTGCAGCGCATTTAAGCAACACTAATCAACTACCTTTCCTCGCTCCTGTGGGGTGCAAGGGTCCCCACGCCTGGACAGGAAAGATGACTGCACCTCCCAACTCCTAACTGTTTTGCTCCTGTGCCCTGATGCGTCCTCCCAAATTCTCCTAGCAAGAAGCCAAATTAAATACAAAGCAGCAGAAACCATGAAGATGCTAACTAGCCCCACCTCAGAGGGGTGCTGCCAGAGTCGGTGAGGTGAGGCATAAAGCACCCAGCATGGGGGCTCCCCGCAGTGAGAGCTCAGAGGCGGGTTACAGGGCGCTGCCTGGGTGAAGATCATCCCTGTCAGTCCCGTGCTCCAGGGGGGAGAGAGCAAAGCACAGGCACCTGCTCTGGCTTCCAGGACAAAGCGCTCAGCACAGACCCTGGAATCCTGTGGCTGGGCATCGCCATGGCTCAGGGTCGCAGGCCCTCACCCATCCCACACACATAGGAGCCTTTGGGGCCTCATTTTCTTTCCTGTGACCTACTTACAACATGTTTCACCCAGCACAGCTCCGCCCCAAGTGGTTCTGCTCCCTGGAGCTCTTCAGGTCTAGTTCCAGGTCCTCTGCAGGGGGCTGTAAGCTCCAGGATGCACAGCCCCCTGCCGACTTCCTTGGCTCCTATTACCTGCTTTGAAGATAATCCGTAGCAGCAGCGGGAACAGAAAGAAACCCGCGCGGCCCAGCGACACAGCAGAGCCTGCCCCCCCTCTTTGTCCTCCTCACACAGATCCACTGCCTGCGGTGCACGTGCAGAGTGGCAGCTCCATCCACCCTGGGGCCCCACGGCCCGATGGTGGGGGGGAAACAGCAGTTTGGCACGTGTAATGTTCCCAGAATGGCCTGGCACATGCTGAGGGCTCCGGGTGTTAGCAGCTATTGTCAGTAGGATGATTAATTTATATTTTCATTTGTTCAACAGAAAATCAAAGAGTGGCTGAATGTAACAGGTGCCCCACGTTATGCCAGGAGCTGGGGGAGGAGATGGAGGAGCAGCTTCCTAGGGGGCTTGTGGTCTAACATGAGACCTCGGCCAACAGCCCACTGCATTGGCGCGTGCTCTGAGGGCCCAGGGGTCTAGCAGCAGTTGAGGGGCACCTGGGATGGGGAGGAAGGGCCTCGCACCCAGGCAGGGCAGCAGAGGGAAGGGGAGGCGCCCAGAGAGGGAAACTCTGCTCAATGCTTGAAGAAGTCCAGTCCAGGAACAGGGCCGTCAAGGACAAGAGCACGGGGGGCCTGGAAAAGCTCTGCCCAGGCTCTGCGCACAAAGCAGGGAACAGTCCAGGGTGCCCACAGCCCGGACACCCGGGGGGAGGGAGACGGGGCACGGACACCCGGGGGGAGGGGAGACGGGGCACGGACACTCCACCCGGGGGGAGGGGAGACGGGGCACGAACACCTGGAGGTGAGGACCTGGGCACGGGCACCCGGGGGGAGAGAGACGGGGCACGGACACCTGGAGGTGAGGACCTGGGCACGGATACCCGGGGGGAGAGAGACGGGGCACGGACACCTGGAGGTGAGGACCTGGGCACGGACACCCGGGGGGAGAGAGACGGGGCACGGACACCCGGGGGGAGGGAGACGGGGCA